ACAGGCACCCATCACCGCGCCCGGCAGTGATCCTTTTTATGACGTTTAGATCATGCTTCCCTCTGAATTTTGCAGTCCCTTCATTGAGTCACTATTTATGAATTCTTGGAACTGCCTCAGCCTCTTCATTTTTCATTCAAAAGGTTTTATTTGTTTTTGAGTTTCGATAGTACATGAGGTCGGAGAGGTAATATGAATCTTATATCTAGATTGTGAAAGAACTGCTCTCCACGAGGACACCTTCACTTCCACCAGGGAATCTTACTACCTGTTTATCTTATTACCCTCTGTTTTCTTTGTTTGTTTGTTTGTTTGTTTTGAGACAGAGTCTCACTCTGTCACCCAGGCTGGAGTGCAGTGGTGTGATCTCAGCTCACTGCAACCTCTGCCTCCTGGGTTCCAGTGATTCTCCTGCCTCAGCCTCCTGAGTAGCTGGGACTACAGGCACCCACCATCACACCCGGCTAATTTTTTATTTTTAGTAGAGATGGGGTTTCACCATGTTGCCCATCCTTTGAGTACCAACCATATAATTATTCTAGAATCTTGTTTCTGAATGCTGGTTAAAGTGCAATTCAGCCCATTCATTCTTTAAAACACAAGCAACTGGTAAGTGTAATAACTGAGTAATTTTCTCAAATATCTATGTAAAACTACATCATGAAGGACTAGAGTCCTTACAGGAGTATTCAGGGGGAATCCTAGCCCCCCCCCCTTTTTTTTAAGACCCCAGGCTGGAGTGCAGTGTGCAGTCTCAGCTCACTGCAGCCTCCGCATCCCAGGTTCAAGTGATTCTCCTGCCTCAGCCTCCCCAATACTCCCCAGTAGCTGGGATTACAGGCACACCAACAGGCTCAGCTAATTTTTGTGTTTTTAGTAGAGCTGGGGCTTCTCCATGTTGGTTGGTCTTGAACTCCTGGCCTCAAGTGATCCACCACCCCCATCGGCTTCCCAAAGTGCTGGGATTACAGGCATGAGCCACTGCATCTGCCCAGAATCCGAGCCTTTTCTGACCTCTTCATTTGGCATCCTGCTTCCTTCATAGTGTCTTCCTGGGCGCTCCAGGCACAGGGTGTCCCAGCTCCCAAGGAGGAGCCCCACATCTCTTCAGGATTAGGAGGATGTGTAAGGCCTCTTAGTTCCTGTTTTGGAGATGGGGGGGGGTTACTCTTTTGGCTTCCTTTACCCTGTGAGGCATGTAATATGTTCATCATCTCCTCCTCCTCTGAGGAGTCTCAAAGAACCAGTTTCCTGCCCCATTTGACTAAAGTGGGACTTTGCTGGAATTCCCACAGCTCTCATAGAATTGAGGGCAAAACTGGAATAATGGTCTCTTCTCAGCATCCACTGTGATCAGGACTGTCCCTCACCGGGCTCGTGGTGAGCCTGGGTTACCCCGGCAAAACTGGGAAGTCAGAAAAGTGTTTCTCCTGACCCTAGAATTTGGGCACTTTGCTTCTCTTTTGTAATTCCCTCTGGGGTCTCAAGAAACATTTCACACCAAGGTATGAATGACAAAGGGGGCTTCAGGTAATGATCTCTCTCAGAAGTATTGCATATTGAAGGAAGCTAGCGATGACATTTCAGGTGTCTGCTATCAGATAAAAGAGGCATTAGGCAGGGATGCCTGTTGAAAATAATCCCATCCCAGCTCTGAAATCAGTTCAGTCATTCGTTATTTAACAAATATTTATTGAGCACCTACCATGTCTGAGGCACTGTGTACAATGAAGAATACAAACACTTTGTACTCTCCTGGAGCTACAGGTTAGCTCTGGGCACAGTAACACAGTATTACGTAAAATAAAGAGCCGCATTTCCTTGGGTGGCTTATGAACCTGAATCCCATTTTATGTGAGCATCTGGATGTTGTTGGGTACTCTTGGCATCACCATCAACCACCTGATCATGCATTATCTGCAGACATTCTGTTTATCCTTTTTTTTAACCTGGTCCATAGACAAAAATTTGACTAGAACTAGTTGGAATCAAACAAAATTTAATTTTGAAGCAAACAATGGAATAGTAATTTGGTGTTCCAGGTTTTGCCCTGTGAGAAACAGCTGTTGTTTTTTTTTTACCTGCCGACACAGCTTCTTTTGGGAACAGCACCCTGATTTCACTTTGGGAAATCTCCTTGCTCACCTTTGCAGGCATGGTAGACAGTGCAGGATTGACTCACCTACTCCTAGCTCCGGGAGAGGGCATGTAGTCTCTGCATCAGTTGATTCAGGTATAGGCACGTGAGCCACATAAGGCCTATGGAAAGCCTCTACAGGATTTTTTCCCCATGGTTATGGGGAAAGAGTAAGCCTTTTCACTGGGTTTGCAGGCTGGGAAGAACAATATGACTGGCAGGGCGTGGTGTTTCATGCCTGTAATCCCACTTTGGGAGGCTGAGGTGGGTGGGATCCCTTTAGGCCAGGAGTTTGAGACCAGCCTGGCCAATATGGTGAAACTCCATCCCTACTGAAAACACAAAAATTAGGCCTGGTGGTGCTGAGGAAATGTATTCTCTTCCCGGGTCCACAAGGGGGATAGGGTTCAAAGGCAATAACTTCCCAGCACCATACCCCCCACCTCTCCATCTGGGATCTTAAGGGTCTTTGATTAAACTTTGGCGCACGTGGGAAAAATCAAAGATCCTTTAAACTTTAAACTCCAGCGGGAGTTTAAAGGAACTCCTTTCACAGGCCCCGAAAACCTGAAGAGGGTGGGAATTTCTCCCAGGTTAAAAGTCCTCTTCTTCCACACCTCTTCCGAGTCACTATCTGGATCCCCTTCCACTATCTTGTGGAAGCTTCTCGCTGTCAACTTTTTATCTCTCCTTTTTCTCTTTCTCTGCCTAAATAAATTACTTTCTGAAAAACTCTTTGGGGTCCGATATTTACTTGCCAGCGCACCGTGCCGGGCCGGGTCTTCCCTCCCATTCTTGGGTGAGTGAGAGACCAAGGGCCTGTAAGAACATCCTCTTGGGGGAGCTGAGCTTCCCCCCTTCCCTGGAATTCGGTCACAGTGACTCTGTCTGACTAAAAAAGAAAAGAAGGCCGGGCACGATGGCTCAAGCCTGTAATCCCAGCACTTTGGGAGGCCGAGGCAGGTGGATCACGAGATCAAGAGATCGAGACCATCCTGGTCAACATGGTGAAACCCCATCTCTACTAAAAATACAAAAAATTAGCTGGGCATGGTGGTGTGTTCCTGTAATCCCAGCTACTCAGGAGGCTGAGGCAGGAGAATTGCCTGAACCCGTGAGGTGGAGGTTGCGGTGAGCCCAGATCGCCCATTTGCACTCCAGCCTGGGTAGCAAGAGGGAACTCCGTCTCAAAAAAAAAGAATATGGCCAACACGAGGGAAAGCAGAGATCAATACCACAAGAGATTCCTGACATCACCTGGGTGACTGTATTTAGGTCTGTTTTTTTTCAGTTATATGAAACTGAAGAAGGGAGAGAGATTCATTGATCCATGTAGTTCTGTTTTTCATCAGCTAGTTTGAGTTGGGTTTCTGTCACCAGCAGCTGGGTGATCTTCCTCATTCAGTACTAAATGTACAAGAGCCCAGAACTGTACTAAACACATACCTAATAAAAAAAAAACCTAATCGGAAGATGATGAACTGGTTGCCTTTTCACGCATTTATTTCTTTATTTGACATATATTTATTGTACATGTAGTTAACCGGTCATAGGCTGAAATCTACATGGCAAACTGGGCATTGTTCAGGGTGATCTCCGTGAGGGGCATGGAGTTTTGAGGCCCCTGAAGCTTACCTAGTTCCACATGCAGATGAAACAGAATCACAACCCCCTTTTCTGCCAATATTGGCGTCTAGTTTTTTCCTTGCTCCCTCTCTGAAGCAAGGAAGGACACAATTTCAAGTTCAAGTTGGACTGCAAAGATAGTGGAAGAATGACTCTGACTCTTTAGCCCTGTTGCCGAATAAGTGTTTTCTTTCAAACTTATGGAAACCTGAAAGAAACAAGGTCTTCCTGGCCTGTTAATAAGTTTGTGCTACTTAAGACACAGAGAAATTTATTTAATGCCAATTTTTTTTTTTTTTTGAGAGGAAGTCTTGCTGTGTCCCCCAGGCTGGAGTGCAGTGGCATGATCTCGGCTCACTGCAACCTTTACATCCCTGGTTCAAGCAATTCTCCTGCCTTAGCCTCCCGAGTAGCTGGGATCACAGGCACCTGCCACCACACCCGGCTACTTTTTTTTTTTTTTTTTTTTTGCATTTTTAGTAGAGATGGGGTTTCACCATGTTGGCCAGGCTGGTCTTAAACTCCTGACCTCAGGCAATCCGCCTGCCTCGGCCTCCCAAAGTGCTGGGATTACAGGTGTGAGCCACTGTGCCCAACAAATCCCAAATTTAGAAGTTCCAGTATCAACCATGCAAATAAAATGCCTGATCATGGTTGCTTCAAGAAAGGAGAGCTCTAAGAAGTGGGGCTGCAACACGAACAAAACTCAGTCCCTGCACTTCATGAATTCCCTGCCAAGAGCCCCCTTTATTAATAAACAAGCCCTGGGAATGGGGCCTCCATTTTTTTCACAAAATAGACCAAATAATGTGACTAACGGGACTTGGGGGATAGAAAGGTATTTTGGTGCCCATAAGCATGGTCCCGCAGTGTCACATTCTTGTCATTTTGACGGCTCCTTTCTCGTCCACTACTATAAGGTTTAGACCCTCCAGAAGAAGAATGCAGTTTAATTTTTCATTTCTAAAGCCCATACTTTGTTTCATGCCTTCCTCAAGTGAAGTGGCCCTTTTTATCACACACTCACAATCATGCACGTATTCACAAAGTACTTGCCCAGAGAGTACGTGTGTATAAACAACCCAAAGACATATATAAATAAAACCAAGTATTGTGTAGGGGTAGACTTCTCTGTCGATTAATGGATGGTAGCTAGACTGATACCGAGTGAGCTAGCTAGCTAGACAGACACACAAGTTTATAGATCTCAAAATAATTGACACACACATCTCCCAAATTCTGCTAATATCCAAAGTTTATCATAACTACGACAATATCAGTCTCAACCAGGTTACAAGTTTGTTACAAATTACAAACTATTTAAAAATAATTTTGACAAGAAATACATCCCAAATGTGAACACTAAACACTACCCTGGAGTTAGAAAAACTGTAAATGGGAGGAGGAAATTGAGGTACCGGTGGCGACATAAGGCCTTTTTGTGTGAGAGACTGTTTTCTGAAGTCAGTGTGGGGTGTAGTCTAACAGACCTCCAGGAAAACAATCCTTCCAACTACCAAATCAGCACATTGAGACATTCAAATACTCAAATCAGAACAACGATCAGCCGCAAGTTTAAATGTGTATTTGGATTAATACACAGGTGTGCATGAAGAAGGGAGAGGATGTAAGTCAAAGACTGGGTAGTCAGGACCCTGTCCCTCGAAGAACGCCCTACATTTCCAAACAGAATATTAAAGCAAGAGCTACCCAATAAGAAGAGACTAAAGACTCCAACTCACTCCTTCTGTGTTGGGGAGAGCAATCTGGGCTGTGAGTCAAGAAAAGCTTCCCAGGGAAACTAAGAAAAATGATTTAATTATGTAGCTTGCACATCATGGCACTCAAGGCACCCCCCAGGAAACATCTAATCCACGCTCAAGGATTCTGGAAATGCAAATGCATCCTCACAGGATCCATCCGAGAGCCAGCATCCTTCAGTATCACTGCTTTGCTTTCAGGAGGAGATGCAATGCCAGCAGGAAACCTCCTGCCATTCTGCCTCTCCATGGGAGTCCTCCACAATCTCAAGGGTAGGAGAAGGGAGGGAGCTGAGCCAGCAATCTCCCATGGGGGTCACCAACTGGAAAGCCACAGGGCAGGAAAAGCAGACACTTTTTCCTTTTTTAAAATGTTTCAATCATTATCTCTTCTAGTCTAATGTTTTAAAGACTGGTTGGCCAGTTCAAATTTGGACCAAGCTGAAAAGTTGTCTCTAGGGTTTTGATACAATTTAGGGACTTCTATAACTTACTTATAATTCATATTTTATGTTTATAGCCACCTAAAATTGGGCTTTAACTGATATTTGAGAACTGTAAAAACTTTGGAACAATAAAAAGAAACTCTACCCAAGCAAAATCTGATAAGCGAACTCAGAGCTCAGTTTGGAGGTCGGCTGCAGGGATAGGTGGGTGTGGATAGCATCCAGTGCCCCACGGGCTGACCAGTGCCCCTGGGGACTTGTTGCCACAGTAAACTGTTTTAAATAAGTTGTTGTTTAACTAAGTCCATCAAATGACATAAACTCAAGCTGATAAAAGTCTGCTGCCCTCAGATGCAGTCTCTATTTGTGAGGAAACATTCGGTGTGGAGGCCAGGAAATAATCCACCCTGTGTCTTCAGGCTGACTCCAGATACTCAGCGTATTCTACCTCTGCAATGCCTTTGTCTGCTGCTCCTATGACTGTTGCTGCTACTTGCAAAGAGATGTGTCCAGCAACTTCATCACTGGGGCACAATGAGCTGTTCACATTTTAGTGTCCTGGACAGGAGTGTCATCCTGTGAACACGGGAGGAAAGAATGAATTAGGAGAATGGCGAGGAAATTCTGACACTCAGCATCTGCCCTCAGGGATGCTGGATCAGGCAATAATAGCCATAGTAGGAGTCATAGTAAGAATGAGAGTCAGAATGCTATGTACCCAACTTAGTTTTTGTTTAATGCATCAACTTTTTTTTTTTTTGAGACGGAGTTTCACTCTTGTTAGACGGAGTTTCACTCTTGTTACCCAGGCTGGAGTGCAATGGCGCGATCTCGGCTCACCGCAACCTCCGCCTCCTCGGTTCAGGCAATACTCCTGCCTCAGCCTCCTGAGTAGCTGGGATTACAGGCACGCGCCACCATGCCCAGCTAATTTTTTGTATTTTTAGTAGAGACAGGGTTTCACCATGTTGAACAGGATGGTCTCGATCTCTTGACCTCGTGATCCGCCCGCCTCGGCCTCCCAAAGTGCTGGGATTACAGGCGTGAGTCACCGCGCCCAGCTGGTTGCATCAACTCATTTAATCCTCACAAAAGCAAATGAGGTAGGCACTTCGATTAACTCTGTTATAGGTGAGGCAATTAAGGCACAGAGAGCTTATTTCCCCTAGGTCACACAGCTAGTAAGTGGTGAAGTCAGGATTTTAACCCAGGGATCAGAGCTTGAGTCGTCAAGTACTAAGTGCCACGCCCATCCCTTGATGCCTGACCTCTCATTCCCATTCAGTGCGCTTTCCTGAAACACTGCTCAAGATTCTTTGGCTGCATATAAATGGGAAAAGGACAGAAAGAGTCAAAAATAAAAGACTAATACTTGAGTAAAAGGACAGTAAAGTAGCTATTTATTCAATAGTCACTCAAAAGGTATTGCTTTGAGACCCTTCTGTGCTAGGAGCTGTACCAGGACTCCAGCCTTGTCTCCATCAGTTCTAGCTGAGAAATGGAAACTTCTGGGAATGTAATCACATAACAGGGTGAGGGGTGATGTGGACCATCCTAATGGACTATACTGATCAGTGGGGGGGCATTTGTCCTTAGAGCAATCAGAAAAGGCCTGTGGAGGGGAAGATAGAGGCCTGGTGAGAGGACTTCCAGGTACCAGTGAGGGCTGGGTTCAAGTGGGCTGCAGGCAATTTTGGCTGGAAGTACAGGCATTTGGGCAAAGAGGCTGTGGGAGTGGGTGATGGGATGCCTTGCCTACTGCGGAATGGTGGAGAGCGCAGGACACCTGGAGCCCCAGCCCCGCTGTTGGGGAGTACGGAGGCAGTGAAGGTTAGGCACGTGGCAAAGTCCAGCCCCAGGAGGAGCATGAGCTCTATTTTCCAATGGGCAGTATGGAAGGTTTTGGGATAGGAGAGCAGACAACCTCTGGTATTTACAGGAAAAGGATTCGGCGATGATACATCGGGTGGGTCTGGAGAACAGGAATTCTGCTAGGAATGAGTTGTGATTGTAGAGATAGAAAAGAAAGGTTAGCACTGGTATCATCATAGAGATGGGGTTGTGCCATGTTGCCCAGGCTGGTCTCCAGCTCCTGGGTTCCAGCCATCCTCACTCCTTGGCCTCCTAAAATACTGGGATTACAGGTGTGAGGCACTGTGCCTGGCCACAATTCGGTTATTCATTGAGCTCCCACAAAATGCTGGTCATGCTAGGGGCTGAGGAGCGGCAAGGAGGAGGAGGAGGGGAAAAGGGAGAAAGAGAAGGAGAGGCAGAGGCATCTCTGGGAAGGACAGTTAATGTGTCTGAGGGATGATTGAGGTGGGAATGCAGGGAGTGCATCCCCAAGAGAACTGAGAAGAAATAAGGGTGGAGAATTGAGTCTGCTGACCTGCCAGTTAACCAGGAGGGAGAAGAAAGAAAGAACAAAGTAAACACTACAAAGTTACAAAGGTAGGGACCTCTCAAGAGAAGGATGCATTTCATCAGCTCAGAGAGAAAAGAATTGCAAATCAAACATTGAGAAACAAAGGGGAATAACTTGGAAAGCAAGTGAATCAGGCAGTTAGGAAGTCAGCATTTACTGTTAACGCAACAAAGTCTCAGATTTGATGTTCAAACATTTCCAGTGTCTTTGTTTGGGTAAGTTTTTCTCTGGCATAGCTAAGTACCCTACTCAATACTGGATACATAATGAGTGTTTGAGAAACACTTGCTAAATGTATTTGAAGTGTTAGAGTTGTATCTGATTCTGTGGCCTCTTTCCAGGGAGACTTTTCCTTATAAACAGAATTCTAAGTGCAGTGACTTGGTATGTCCAGTCTGCCTATGACTCAAATCCTCAGGATGGCTCCTTCTTTCAGCACGATATGTTAAAACACGTATGAGGGACAACCTAACAGTTAGGTGACCCTGTATAGCGCTTTCACACATCTGATGCCTTCAGTGTACTTACAGAACTTTCTCCTGCTTTCTCTCAAAGAACAAATTGCTCCAGCCTTTGTGCTTCACACAGCACCGCTGGAGGGCAGAATCCCATTTATTCTACTGCCTGGTCGTTATTTGTTTATGCCTCTTTCTTCTTCACTTTTGACTCCGGGTATCTCATATAGTGTAGGGATAATGGGTGCTTGTTAAATGCTGATTGCATGAATGCGACCATAATTAGTTTATCTGATTGATCTATTTCTACCAACCAAGGAACAAGATGGGAATTAAGTTGGGGGTTAGAAAACTGCTGCGAGGTGTGTGCTGCCGCTGGGATCCAGGAAAGACCTGGGACAGCCATGGGTGCTGCGGAAGCCCACGACTCAAGGGGTCAACCCTGTCATTATTCTCATTGATGAATCCTTTTACACTAGTGACTCAGGCATTTTGATTCTGACCTTTCTGGTTTGAGAGGAACAGGAAGAACTGGAGACAGTGCCCCCTTCCAGATTAAACAAATTATGCACATGTGCACAGGTACACTGTAAGCAGCTTATTGTGATGATAGGGCAGGTGCCTAATATATCAACATTCATTGAGCTCTATGACCATGGACAACTTCTGTCCTCTCTTGGAGGCTTGGTTTCTTTCTCTCTCTAAACTAGGCAATTGGGGCCAGCCAGGCATGGGGGCTCACCCCTGTAATCCCAGCACTTTGGAAGGCCAAGGTAGGTGCATAACTTGAGGTCAGGAGTTCAAGACAAGCCTGGCCAATATCGTAAAACTTTGTCTCTACTGAAAATACAAAAATTGTTTGGGCGTGTGGCTCATGCCTATAATCCCAGTACTTTGGGAGGCCAAGGCAGGCGAATCACCTGAGGTCGGGAGTTCAAGACCAACCTGACCAACATGGAGAAACCTTGTTTCTACTAAAAAAAATACAAAATTAGCTGGGCATGGTGGCGCTTGCCTATAACTACAGCTACTTGGGAGGCTGAAGTAGGAAAGTCACTTGAGACTCCCCAGTAGCTGAGACTCTCCTACCTCAGCCTCCCAAGTAGGTAAGAGAGCCAATATGCCCAGGAGGCGGAGGGTGCAGTGAGCCAGGGTCATGCCATTGCACTCCAGCCTGGGAAACAAGAGTGAAACTCCATCTCAAACAAACAAATATAAAAATCAGCCTGACATGGTGGCACACACTTGTAATCCCAACTACTTGGGAGGCTGAGGCAGGAGAATTGCTTGAACCTGGGAGGCAGAGGTTGCAGCGAGCTGTCATTGTGCCACTGCACTCCAGCCTGGGTGACAGGCAAGACTCCATCTCAAAACAAAGAAACAGACAAACAAAGCTAGGCAATTGGGTTAAGTGGCATCAAAGTTTGGCATCTCAGAGATGGCAGAGGAAAAGCATTCCTGTCATTCCATCCAGAGGTGGAAGTGGAGCTACTCTTTCTCCACCAGAGCTGCCTGTCTGGGAGGACCGCGCTCCTAAGGGTGCTGGGCATTCTAGTCCCCTGCCCAGGGCTCTGTCGGGAATATGGAAGTGGCAAGGCTTGAGAGATTACCGGTGAGCCTGCCCCAGAGCTCCCGGAGTTTCTGCAGGGAGACTTCTACCTGAGACCCCCCTGAAGCAGCCCTGTTCCCTGCTAACTTTTCAACCAAGGTGACTTTTCAACCCTCAGGATTGGAAGATGCTGTCAGTTAGATGGGAAGGTCTCCTGGAAAGGTAGGTGGCTCCTAACCTGAAAACAAGATGTGGCAACCGCTGGCAGGTGACTGCTTGGACCCAGTGCCTTCATCCTCAAAAAGGACTGTTTGGGGCATGTATTTGCCTTCTGGAGACCTGGTGGAATCTCTCAGTTCCAGAAGATCCTAAATCTATATTGCTTATTTAGAATGGAAGGTGTTGAAGAAATCTGGAGCACCTCTGCCTAACCACTCAACCCAGGGGTCTCAGTCACACTTTATGAGTCTTTGGGACTCACACTTTTTTCTCCTTGATCTAGCATGAGTGAGAATAATGAGGGCCCTGGGAGATCCCCGAAATGCATCAATTCCTCTTATACCTGTAGTTCTATCATTAGAGATTATTTCTTTTGGGTCAGGCAACTTTCTCTCTTCTTTAAAAATTCAATCACTCAGCCAAGTTTTTTTTAAAAAACCTACTATGTTCCAGGTTCTGTAGCAGGTGCTGGAGATGCAGTGAGGAAAAGGAGCAGAGAAAGACAATTGAAAAATACACAGAATTTCAAGTAGCGATGTGTTCTATGATGACAAAGTGGAAATGGTGGGAGAGAGTAACTGATGGGGTGGACGGAGGTCCCCTTAGACTGAATGGCACAGACAGGCCTCAGTGAGAAGAGACCATCTGGGCTGAGCTCTGAACCCTGGGTAAGAAGTGGCCATATGAAGATCAAAAGGAATGTCCCACGTAGAGGGGACAGCAAGGATGGAGCTCTGAAGTGGGAACGAGCTTGCTGTAGTTGAAGAACAAAAAGACATCAGCATGGCACAGTGAGGGGGATAGTCAGGGAGAGGTGGGGATGCCCCATCCTAACCCCTGGTACCTGTGAATGTGACCTTATTTGGAAAGATCTTGCAGATGTAACTAAGAATCTCCAAACAAGATCATTCTGGATTTAGGGTGGACCCTACATTGAAAGACTGATATCTTTCTAAGAGGAAGGAGGGGGACTTTGAGACACACAGTAACCGTGAAAGGCCATGTGACAGAGATGGAGGCAGAGACTAGAGTGGTACATCTACAAGCCAAGGATTGCAGCAGCCGCCAGGAGCCGGAGGAGGGAAGGGAGGATTCCAAGGGTTGCAGGCAGCCACTAGAACTTAGGGAAGAGGAACAGATTCTCCCCCAGAACCACTAGAGGAAACTAACCCAGCCAACATCTTCATTTTGGAGGCCTGAACTGTAGAACTATAAGAAAGTCTATTTCTATCGTTTCAAGCCACTAAATTTGTGGTAATTTTTTATGGCAACCCTAATACGAGAGGCGAATAATTTTAGCAAAGAGCAATTGAGCTAAAAAACAAACCAAACCTGCTGGTTGCTGTCAAGAGAATGGATTATACAGGCAGGAGGAAAAAAGAATGGAAGCAGGAAGCCAGAAGAAGCTACTGTAGCAAGAAGCTGACAGTGGTGTGCGAGAAAGGAAACGCAAGGAAGCAAAGGGGAAACACGTGTGGGTGACTGACTGGATGACATTGTTAGGGACTCGGCAGGGCGCGTTCTGCTCCTAAAGCATAGATAGGTGAGCTCAAGATGCACTTCCTGGGAGCTGGTGAGGAGCAGACAGGTACAGGGGAAAGGGCCAGTCAGTGTGGGCCCAGACAGGAGGGACTGAGTCACCCTCTCCTCCTCATGTGCAGCAATGACCAATTCCTGCACGAGAGTGGATGTCACATCACGTGCAGCCTCTTTCTCTGAGAGCCAACTCAGATGCTAGCCTGGCCCTGAAGCATCCCCAGCTTCTTGCCCCATCCACACACGGGTTGTTTTTGCCACCCTTGCACTTTGGGCTTCCCTAACAATGATTCCTGTCGCCGCCCTATTCCACCTTTTTCGTGCATGCAAAGGCGCTGCTGGTCTCATGTGCTAAACTGAGATGATTTTTAGAAAGGAGCTCCCCTTTCTTTTTCGTCTCTGGATTCCCTGCAGCAGCATGCCCAGGCCCCTGGACTCAGCAGGCTTCCACAGACACTTGCGGGCCTCAGTTACTGAGTGGTGTCGAGGCTCAGTCCCTTCACACATACTCAGAAGCTTGTCAGAACTCTGAGTCAGCAAGAAGCTGGCAAGAGCACAAGACACACTTCCCCTTTGTGTCCTTTTGTCCCCTCAGCCTCAGCGACAGGCTTTCTCCAACCAGTCAGCACGAGGCAGGAGCCTGGTGCCTTTGTTTCTGCATGGAGCTGATTTATGAAGGGACTGTACAGAACAGTGCACATGACCGAGGCACACACTGGCCCTGGCACTGCCTCCTGCGTGTGAATGAGCCAGGCCACCTACCTCTGGCTTGAGGACTACTTGCCCGCTCTGGATCTCACCGCCAGTCTCCTGTGGGGCAGGGCCGATCTGGGGGCTGCAACCTGGCTCGAGCCCTGCCCCCTCCTGTTGTTTTTCCTTGCCTTTTTCCTGCTTGGGGATATCGCCACCCTTCACTCCTCCAGGGGGACTAAGGGAGGTCTCCTTCCCTGCAGCTCCTTCCTCTGGCTTCTTTGTGTCTTGGCTCTGATGTCCGGGTCCCGCCTCTTCATTTTGCACCCTCTCCCCCTTCACTTCTGTAGCCTTTTCCATCTGTGCTTCCTCTCCAGCTGGCTTTTCCTCCCTGGGGCTCCCACATCTATTCTCTGCCTCCGGGCCAGAGGTCTGGGGTGCTTCTGGGGCCTCCTCCTGGGCTGGGTGCTGGCCGTCCACCTCCTCTGAACTCCGCCTGGCCTTCTCACTGTGCTTGGCTTCCTCTGTGGCCCTGTCCTCCTCCTGCTTCTCTGTCCTGCTGGGTGACCTCCTCAGAGGAGGCTTTTCAGCGGGCTCCAGGGTTCTCACTCCCTCTCCCCCTGTCCCCTCGCTGGACCGAGAAGATCCTGGGGCCTTGATCTTGGATGGGAACACCTCCTCCCCATCTTCTTCCTTAGCACCATTCTCCTGAGATGACTCTGCCGCCCTGAAATCTCCAAGGTCCCCACAGTCCGACTGTGATCTTCGGAATCGCCTGGAGGGAGGGCGCCTTTTGATTGAACCCCTCGTCCGCACCTGGAAGAAAATGTTAGGGAAAATTATCCAAAACCCGAGAAAAAGGCCAAGAAGAGAACTGTGTGTTCAATGTTGGTCTGATGCACTGCTTCACGTGTTCACACAAGGACCATTTAATTTTCCAGGAAAATGAATCATTGTTTGCTATTTATTATAGGTTAGAGCCGTGTGAGATTGTGAAATCACATGGGGACCTGCAGACTTTTATTTTGTGAAGATGCAAACGCTTTCCATCCAGGAAAAAAAACCCAAAAACCTCATGATTTTATTGCACTGTAAAAACATTAACAAGTTTGCTATCTAATTAGCAATTTTATTCTGACACTTAAAATAAATTGTTGCTGGGCATGGTGGCCCACACCTGTAATCCAGCACTTTGGGAGGTTGAGCGGGGGAGGATCGCTTGAGCTCAGGAGTTGAAGATCAGCCTGGGCAACATGGCGAGACTCCATCTCTACTAAAAGTAAGAGAAATTAGCCGGGTGTGGTGGTGCATGCCTGTGGTCCCACTTGGGAGGCTGACGTGGGAAGACGGCTTGAGCCTGGGAGGTTGAGGCTGCAGTGAGCTGTCATCACACCATGGCACTTCAGCCTGGGCAACATAGCAAGACGCTGTTTCAAAAAAAAGGAATTGTCTAATTGTCTATAAATAACCAGTTCTTCAAATGCTGTTTGAGTAAGCTCTGCCATCTTACAAGTTTCCTCATAGATTAACATATTGAATAAAATCAATCCCTATTTTGTTGCATAAGAGTCAGACTTTTATCTTCTGAAGATACAAATGCTTTCTATCCAGTAAAAAAGATAACTCATGGTTTTGAAAATTGTACTTTTGAGACAAAGACGAATTGCACTGGGAAGACAGTTAGCGGCCTGCTGATGGCCACGCCCTGGTGCAGGGACCTCAGGGGGGCTGAGCTGGATACCTGGTGACCAGCTTCCTTTCTTGCCCCAACTCTGCCCTCCCCATCCCCTATGAAGCTGGCTGATACTGGAGGACCTGAGTGGCCAGAGTCCTTTGCTTCTAGGACTCAGGTCCACCGCTGTCAGGAGCTGTTCCTCAGGAGCACCAGCAGAGCTGCCTGAAGGTGATCTCTCTGGGAAGCATATGAATCTCAGAGTCAGGCATCATCTTAGCCCAGCAGACTTAGAAGTGCAATGAAAGTGTTCACATCAGGTATTCTACCTACTCGAGTGATGTGTCCTTTAAAACTTAGTATGTAAGTGGGCTGGGTGTGGTGGTGCATGCCTGTAATCCCAGCACGTTGAGAAGCAGAGGCCAGAGAATTACTTGAGCCCAGGAGCTGCAGGAGCCTGGTTGAGGACATAGCAAAACCCCATCTCTACAAAAAATACAAAACTTAGCCAAGCATGGTAGTGCATGCCTGCAGTCCCAGCTTCTAGGAGGCTTACTTGAGCCCAGGAGGTGGGGGTTGCAATGAGCCAATATCACACCACTGCACTCCAGCCCCGGTGATAAAGGAAGACCCTGCCTCAGGAAAAAAAAAAATTAGTATGAAAATACATTTTTGTAAATGTTATTTTCCCACTGATTTACATTTTGGTGTTTGTCAATCCTAGTTCCCCATCTGAGATGCTTGGAATGAATACTTGGCTTATCAGGGCCTCCCAAGCCCTTTCCTGAGACCATGATGGGGCCAGCTCTGAAATGTATCAAGGTCCTCATGGACCAGCTCTGAAATGTATCCCAGCTCTCATGGCCAGCAGAATTCCAAAATAACTTTCCCTTGCTGCTGTCAGAAGGCTGAAGCCTCCAGGCACTATGATCAGATAGCAGGTCCTCCCTCCTGCCTCGCCTGGCTATGAGCACTCTGTAAGAAGATGAGGCTCTCCACAAACGTTCCTCTCTGCCTTCAGGGGCTTCATCACCCTGGTTGGGAGAGTTCCACTCTGGCCCTAGCCCTCAGGCTCAAGCCTGCCCAAACACCTCCTTATCACCAGTTTATTTCCTTGAGTCCTCCCTGTTTTTACACATTTGACCCTTTTTTGGGAGATGAACTTCCTAGAATGGCCTAGAAGATCTCGTTTCTCCATCATTAATTTTAAAGCCACACCCACTTAGCATTCCCTGGCACCAGACCCCCTGAAGTCTTGGCCCCTGCTGGCCCTGGCCCACATTTGTTGGCTACCTGCTTGACCCATATTTCTGATCCTGACCTCCACCTCCTCCCAGCAGGGCCAGGGATGTGATGAAAGCTTATACAGAGGACTGGGGTTGCATCTGCAGAAATGCACCCTGCCATGTCATTTTTGCAAAGGGAACAGCTTGGATGTTCTTTAAGTGGGGCAAGCTGCAGGAAGAATGATTTGAGCCCACACTGGGACACTTAGGACTATTCATACCGGGGCAGGCAGGATGTTTTGAAGTTCTGGGGATGCTGCCCAGCATTCTCTGCAAATCACTCATCAGGCCTTGGGCTTTTGCTTTCTGCTTTTGATATTAATGATCTATGCAGCTAGGATTGGTCCTGAATTTCCATACCCCACTCCACAAAGGAGAGAGCACGCCAATCCCCAAACTTGTCTTGGGGTCAAACGGCACAGTTATAGGGAGAGGAGATGAGCCAGTTGGTCGAGGAAGAAGGGTGATACTATTCAGGAATCACTTGCAAAGGAGAAGAGAAATTTCACTTGGGTTGAAATGCAGCTCTGATGATAACTCCGAATGTTTCCTCCTTTCTCCAGGACAACAGAGTAGAGAAAATTCAGTGCCAGTGCCCACATTTCCACAGACACACCTCCATACTCTGGAGCTAGAATTTACCTTGTTGTAGCAGGGCAGATGACTGCCTTCAGGGGGCTGGTCGAAGCTGACGGGCACCTCCTCTGCCTCACTGGGCCGAGATCGCACGCCAGGGCTGCTGGGGGTAGAAGGTGGGCTGTGAAATGGTGACACCATGGCCTTGAGTCCGGGACTCTTGGGTGAGGCTCCAGGCAGCAGAGCAGTCGGGTCAAAGGTTAAATTGGCCTGTCAAGGAAAGATGAACATTGTTAAATAGGACTGGGGAAGAGATGAGAGCCTCTACTTTAGCTTGTTGGTTACCTGGCCTCAAGCCACTTCCCCATGATCTGCTGTCCCATCATGGCCTGCTCTTGGAAGCAATGACTGCTCAATACTCCTCCTGCTACCTGGATTGACACAGGCTGCATTCCAACACGCTCAGCCAGCACTGATGAGGCTCTAACAAAAATGTCCCGGAACAAGCCCAACTTATCAACAAGGTTGCAAAGCAGCAGCTGCCAGGAGCACGTGCGGCACTGGGATCTCACAGGAAGTCAGGCTCTGCGATCGCCTTTCTCATCACAGTCGATGGTACCCAGTCCCACTGGATGCCTACTGCTGCCGGCCACATGTTCAGCTGTGTTCTCATTGCACAATCAGGAGAGTGGCGAAGGGATCTGCCCTGAGATTCACACCGGGTCTGATTCTCTCTCTGCCTCCAAGTACCAGGTTCCCTCTTAATAGAAGGCAGGGTGGTGGACATGGCAGACCGCTGAGCTCCTCCAGGAGGGAGGCAGCAGAACACACCATAGTATGAGCCATCACTTGGGGTATCAAGGTACAGGTGTGACCCGATCAAAATGAAAGGCAGCCAAATGGGAGAGTCACCCAAAGGTAACCAAAGCCTCAGGGAGTCTTGAGTTTTGTTGGGGAGGAGGCAGGTGGTCCTAGATCCACCCATCACCACAGAGAAGGTGGTGGTGCCCGAAGGTGTCCATGGGGGAAACGTGCGTGAGTGTCCGATCCTCTTTAGGGCCATCTAGGGGTACTTCTCCTACCCTTTGCATACCCAAATCACGGCAGACCTGCCTCCTGTAGACCCTGTGGAAGTGCTGAACCAGGAGAGAGAGCCACCGGGAGACTTGACAGAGAAGGGACAGAGTGTTAAGGGCAGACGTGCAAGGGGAAGTACAGGGGTTTTCCACACCAACAGATCTGACTTCAAATACTGGATCTTTCACTTAATAGCGATGTGACCTTCAGGACTTCAGCAAGTCCAACAGCCTTTCTGAATCTCGGATTCTGTCTGTCCAAGCCTCTTGGCCTGACTTCCAAAGTCTTTTCTATCTGGTCCCTTTGTACTCTCTACTGCCCCATACTTACACCTTTTCCCTCCCAGCTCCCCTTGGCCCCACCCTCCACCCCCTTTCCCCCTCCCCACCCAGACTCTGCTGTCCTGTAGAACTCCTATGTGTACTTTAGGACTCGTGGATTAGAAAGAATTGTACACATTTAGAAGGGTGTTAGTATTTTCATTGTGATCTTAAGAAAGAAGGTATCATACAGACAAGCCTGAATCATGGTAAGAGTTCAATATATAAAATACAGAAGTTAAATAGCATACCAGGAGCCCAAGCCATGTCAAAAAGCAGCATATGAAGCTGGGTGCAGTGGTTTGTGCCTGCAATCTCTGCTACACAGGAGGCTGAGTTGGGAGGATTGCTTGAGCCCAGGAGTTTGAGAGTTTCAGTCCAGCCTGGGCAACACAGCAAGACCCTGTCTCAAAAAAAAAAAAGAAAGAAAGAAAGAAAGAAAGCAGCATATGGTGAACACCCAGGGAAGGATTTGGAGCATTGCTGTGCAATTGATGTGCTGGAATGGCTGAGAGGGCTTCATGGCAGAGTGGGTTAGCTGGACCTTAAAGAAAGTGCCCTTCTCTAAATTTCAGGCAGAGAAATTCCCTCTGTAACACAGCTTGCAAATAAAATGGATGTTGATCGTCAGCAGGAAAGTTGACTTGTGAATTTTGGACAAGTCAAATCCTAAAAAAGAAAACTCCCAGTTCATAATTCAGTCAGTAGAATATTTAGAAGAAAATCTAGCTGGTGATGCATTTCTTAGCTTTTTCTCCCACATACTCCCAACAAAGTAAGGTTCCTGTGGAATTTGGCTAAGTTGTCATTCTATTGCTGATGATCTTAATGAGACTGCACAACTAAACATCCAAACCTCATTCTCAAGTTGCTGTATTTCCCCAAAAGGCTCACTTATGACTGGAGAAAGGAATGGGTCCAAAACTACAGGATATAGAATATTTGGTAACTGGTTTCTGGCACTTGAATGAGGGCTGGGGTGGGCTGTAGGGAGGCAGAGGGAGTCTGGAGCCGCACCCCTCAGCTGGCTGCTAGGAGGGGTGCTGGAGCTCTGGGATCCCTTCTGAGAGATCCCTGTTATGTACTTAGGAGCCCTGCAGCCTCCCAGAGTGACAGGCAGCACCTCCCTATTGTTTTTTTTTAGATGGAGTTTCACTCTTGCTGCCCAGGCTGCAGTGTGATGGCACAATCTTGGCTCACTGCAACCTCCGCCTCCCAGGTTCAAGTGATTCTCCTGCCTCAGCCTCCCAAGTAGCTGGGATTACAGACATGTGCTACCACACCTGGCTAATTTTCTTGTTTGTTTGTTTTTTAAGTAGAGTGAGGGTTTCTCCATGTTGGTCAGGCTGGTCTCGAACTCCTGACCTCAGGTGATCCGCCCACCTCCCAAAGTGCTGGGATTACAGGTGTGAGCCACCGCGCCTGGCCAGCACCTCCCTGTTTTTGCAGCTGGGTGGAATCAGGGCTTCTCAGCTTGAATTAAATTTCAGGTAGACACTGCAGAACGCTCCCCACTCTCCACAGGGTAGGCTCATGGCTGGAAATCAGAGATGCTGGCCTTAACCCCAAATTAGGCTGGGATTCAAATCCCTAGGCTCTCCCATGGCTGGGAACTACAGAGGCTGTGGCTATTCGTCTTGACACCTCTGATGGCTTCAGAATGAAGTTGGTGAGCCAGTGGTCTTAGTTAGGCCTAGACGGGAGGCTATGGTGAGCAAGAGCCTTGTTTTTTCTCCTGGGTGGCTGGACAGAGGGCAGGGTGAAAACAGAAGCCTCCCCTACAGCCTCCACCCGGACATAACATCCTACCGCTCCTCGGCACTTCAGCTGCTTCCATTCTCCGCAGTGAACACCTTTCTCCCTCCTTTTCAGTCACCAGTTCCTTAAGGACGGGCTCAGTACATAGGTGTTTCGTAAAACATTCATTAGTTACTCCGGCCCACTCCACTCTCTTCTTGCTCTGAAATTCTAGAACGGTGGTTCTCAGCTGGGGTCAGAGGTGGGAAATGAATTTGCCCCCAGGAGACATTTGGCAATGTCTGGAGACATCTTTCATTTGTCACAACTTGGAGAGTGCTTCTGGCATCAGCGTGTAGGACCAGGGATGCTGCCAAACACCTTGCAGTGCATGAGAGCCCGACCACAGCACCTCCGGATGCCACGGCGAGAAACCCTCATCTCGAGCAGCAGGAGCTGGGCAGTGACCTGCAGCTGAGATCTCTGGCATTGACTCCTGTACATCTTTTTTTTCTCTTTTTGAGACAGAGTCTCACTCTGCTGCCTAGGCTGGAGTGCAGTGGTGTGATCTTGGCTCATTGCAACCTCCACCTCCCGAGTTCAAGCCATTCTCCTGTCTCAGCCTCCCAAGTAGCTGGGATTACACGCACATGCTGCCACGCCCAGCTAATTTTTTGTAATTTTAGTAGAGACAGGGTTTCACCATGTTCCTCAAGCTGGTCTCGAACTCCTGAGCTCAGGCAATCCACCCACCTTGGCCTTCCAAAGTGCTAGGATTACAGGCATGAGCCACCGTGCCCAGCCTCCTGTACGTCTTTTATTGCAATCACCTGTGAAAGCTCTGTCTCTATAAGACTGTGAACTCAGGGCCAGTGTCTTCTGCTTAATTACAGCTGCAGGGAGCCAGCCAGCCCTGGGCACGGTGGGAAAGGGCTGTGGGCACACAGGGTGACTGGTGGAGAGGCTGGACAGGATGCTTCTCAAAACAACAAACGTGTCCATACTGGTGCTGTGTCAGCAGCAGAACAGCAGCCCTATGTAGGGCTTAACTGGTTTGTGGCTGCATTCAGGCCTTGGGAGAGACGACTCGGCTATTTCTGAAGTGTTTCTTGCAACTATGGTATCCTTTCCCGTATGACTTTTTTTTCTTTTCTTTTTTGGAGACAGGAGCTTGCTCTGTCACTCAGGCTCAACTGCAATGAAGTGACCTCAGCTCAACGCAGCCTCAACCTCCCGGGCTCAAGTGACTCTCCCACCTTGGCCTTCAGAATAGCTGGGACTACAGGTGCACATGACCATGCCTGGCTAATTTTAAAATTTATTATAGAGATGGTGCCCCACTATGTTGCCCAGGCTGGTCTTGAACTCCTGGGATCAAGTGATCCTCCCACCTCAGCCTCCCAAAGTGCTGGGATTACAGGAATGAGCCTGGCCCCACAAGAGGCATCCCATTATCCATCGACCCCCCCACCACTAAATGTTGAATACATGAGCTTATGCTTGATGTGGTCGTTATGTCAGTTCTTTTTCCTCAGGCAGGGCTGTGAAATCCTTATCATCTACTGCTGTTTGATCACTGGCTGATTACTGGGGCCAATTAGCCAGGTGACATAAGGGCTACCCCTCTGAGCCTCAAAGCCATGCAAATTTTGGATAAGAAGTGGAGTTAGATAAAAGGTAGCAATGGACAATGAATTCTGCACTTACCTGAAGCTTCTCAATCAGAGGCGAGCTCTTGACCTTGAATTTAGGAGGGTGGCTCGCACTGGGCGGTGACTTCTACGGAGCAAATCAACCAAAACAGCCAGATGAGTAAGGTGAGGAGGTGGAGTTCTGGTTGGAACCCAAAAGCCACAGGCAGAAGGAGAAGAGAAGTTGGTGTTGCCACTTTCTCAGTAGTTCAACAGCCCACTTACCTCATTAGGGCCTGGGCAACCTGGACTTTCCCTCTCCCTCCCTCATCCCACCACAGCTAACTTCGAATCAGAATCAGAGGAGTCAGCGCCAATGTCCTTAACACAGAAGGTCTCTCCCAGGAAGAGTGACTTCATTGTCATTATAAGGGAAAACTATATCTGAGCAAGATCTTCACCTCATGACCTTCAACACTGTGATTCAACAATAATTTGGGGACTTTCAAAGATAAAGGGTAAAAATGACCATCCTGTTTGTCACACACACAAGAAACCAGACCAGGACGACAGAGGTATGACTAGAATTCCTCAATATTTTGGAAAATCCCACCGATGGCATGATTTATAAATTATGATTTTCCAAAGTGTTGAATATTCTTTTTAATTAAGTAAACATGTACTAAGTAGCTACTACGTTCCAGGCATTATGTGGGTCATACAAAGATGAGCATGATTCAGTCTCTGCTGCAGGAGCAGTGCTACATAATCATATGTACTCTCTGTTAGTTGCAGATGTTTTTGTGAGGAATGCATGCCAGGAATCTTGTCTGCCTTTGGGATCCATATCCTGTAAAAACATTAACTCCATGTTTTGTGTAAAATCCCCACAACTGTGTGAGAATGGTGACAGTGATAGGATGATGAGAAGAAGGAAGAGGAGGATGACTTCCATGTGGTTAGACAGAGGTCAAGGCAGAGAAGGGGTCTCCCCATAGTTTGGAGACCAATGTATGACCTGCTCCCTGAACCCATGTGCTATTTTCCTGAACCGTAAGAAGAAGAACTATACTCATTTCTTGGAAAGATTCTGAGATATTATGATGTGAGATGACTGTATTTTAGTGATTGAAGGAGGGAGGTTCACTCAACTGAACTCCTCGTGATCTTTTTTCAGCCCAGCATCAAGGGAGCGCATAGGCTGGACTCACAAGACCCCAACTCCTTCTAATTCTAGTTTTGGCAGAGCCAGATGATGCCCCTGGCCTCGATCTCCTCTACCAAGATGCAGCTGGGTGGGAATAAATGATTCTAACGACTCTCGCTGCCTCTGCCGGCCTCCTCTACCAAGATGCAGCTGGGTGGGAATAAATGATTCTAATGACTCTCGCTGCCTCTGCCTCCACGTGTTTTCACTGTCGGACACGTTCCAATAGCAGTCTTTCAAGGAGCCTTTTATCTAAGGTGAGTACAAAGAGCTTCCAGCCCCAATGCGAGTGTCTTTAGTTTCTGTGATTTACAGGGAAATTTCATAGAGGCTGGGGTTTCCAGAGAAACTTTTAGAAACTACACCAACAATTTTGCAGATAAAGCTCACTTCACATAATACTTTGAATTCTTCTCTTCCCCAATTGACCATTGTCTTCTGAAGTCTGTGGAAATTCAGTGGACCCTGGCCCTTAACCACAGGACAGTACTAGGGACCCAGCTGATGCCCCATAAAATCCGATTGATTTGAATTGCAAAGCAGAAAGAATCCAAAATAGCCTCTAGTGCAGTTCCTGGAAATGACAGCAGGTGGCATCATTTCCTTTACAGTTTAACAAGGGGCTTCAGGCAAGTGCCGCTAACAATTGGAGAAAAACCAGATTTTCATCCCTATATACATATATATAGATGCATTTATATGACATTCTTACCATGTCTAGAAACTATGGACTAATCTTCAGGTGGGAATGCTTTTCAGACTTTTCTGAGCAGAAGAGGCAGGATCTGTGGCTGCATTAAACACCCTTCCAGAGAGGGATAACTAACTCCTGGTCACCCTGCCAGCAGGAGGAGCTGTGCAGTCAGCAGGTGCTGGCAGGGAGCTGACCCCACCATCTCAGACCCGAGCAAGCATAGCGGGGCAGGGATGAAATGACCCTTCCTGGCACTGTGCATTGGGAACTGAGGGATAGCCTGACCGGGGCCCCCAAGGTTTCCAGCATTAGAACCTCTGCAGGCTGAGCTATAGGAGTATGGAAGGAGAAATGCAGACAGTAGCCTCCAATCGGCCCTGCCAGACAAAGCTGGCTGCTCATTTTATTTCTATGTGAATTTCAAGGCCACAAAAAGTCATCGATCCCTGGAGATAACGTCTTTTCAATGTGCAAGTAACCTGTCACTCCGGACAGGACTTTCTAAAATCCACCCTCGGACTTATCCAGCCCCTGGCCATTATAAGCCTTTTAACTTCTGGGTGGTGTGCCCCATGGGGTGAAAACTGCGAATACGTTTCCACAGAGCTGCCAGGATGGAGCTATTTTTTTTTTTTTTTAAGATGAAGTTTCAGTTTTGTTGCACAGGCTAGAGTGCAATGGCGTGATCTTGGCTCACCACAACCTCCACCTCCCAGGTTCAAGCGATTCTGCTGCCTCAGCCTCCCAAGTAGCTGGGCTTACAGGCACGTGCCACCACGTCCGGCTGATTTTGTAGTTTTAGCAGAGATGGGGTTTCCCCATGTTGGCCAGGCTGGTCTCAAACTACTGACCTCAGGTGATCCACCTGCCTCAGCCTCCCAAGTGCTGGGATTACAGGTGTGAGCCACCACGCACAGTCCAGGATGGAGCTGTTTAACCCAATCACTAGCCTAACCCCCTCTGCTTTTACTCCAGAGGATAAAATTTCCCCAACCAGCCTCCTTGATCTATCTGGTTAGTGTTTTTGTCCTCATTTGACAAAAAAGAAAACAGATTCGGTATGGTGCAGTGACTTTTCCTGGGCCCAGCCCGGGTATCAGGGTTTAGCCTCACATTCAGCTCAGAGTGGCCATAGCCTCAACCTGTTGCATAGCAGCAGAGACACCAAGCCCAGAGGATGAGGGTTGCAAGGAGAAGCTGATCCTCTGGAAAGAGAAGTTGTTGGTGTGTGTTTGGTCACAGCATTGGCTGATGACTCTGTAAAGCCACAGAATCATATTGTTGGCACCTAAAGAGACCCAAGGAAAACCTCAGTGTTTTTAAACTGTGCTCCGTGGGGTTCTTATCCCAGAATAAGAGCCTTGTTCAGTGGGGAGAGGAGAGAGTATTGAGAGCAGATGGGGCTCTGGGCCTCCCCTCCCCGATCTCACTTGACCAGGAGCCGCGATGAGTTTTTCTGCTTTACCTCATGGGCTTCTGCTTATAAGCCTTAGGTTGACCAAAAGGCTTGGAAACCATTGATCTACTTCAACTGTTTTACTTTACAGATGAGAAAATGTAGGCCTTAAGATGCTTGCCCAAAAAAAAAAAAAAAAAAAAAAAAAAGATGCTTGCCCAAGTTCACACAGTGTATCTAATGGCCAGTGTCAGGATGCTGGCCCCCACAAAAGAAGGGGAGAATAAAAGAGCTTGTTGAAGTGGGATTTGGGAATGAAAGTGTCTTTGGCTTGCTCTGTTTTGGGGTTGGCCTCCCAGGTGAGATGACAGAACATGCAAATCAATTTCTGGCACAGATCATGGCCATGGTGAAGGCTGGCGGGCTGCTGGCATAAGGCGTGGAGAAGGCACTCCTGCAGCTGCAATTAGACAAATAAAGATAGAAGAATATGCAGGCTACGCACCTATTACTGGCTATGATCTATGACACCAGAGCCTTTATTATGTTGTTAACGATGGCTATTTATATCTGAGGGCCGCGAGGCCTCCTGTGTGCTCTGGTTTTCTTCCAGTGATCCTGAACAATAGTCAGACTGCACAAGGATACCGCAGAGCCACGGGGTTTTCTCATGCTTCCGTCCTGCCCCGCGGAACTGTAGCCCCCTTCCCAGGTGCCTTCTCCATACCTTATCCCAAGATCATCTAAGTCAGACCTGGGAATAAAACACAACGGTCCTGGCTCCTGAATTGGGTCTGTTAATAATATATGACCCATTCTTCTTGCTAAAATGCTCAGGGTCGAAAAATAGTATTCCTGTTCTTGACAAATCACAAAGGTGGCTCAGTAAAAGGGAGGAGTGAGGAGACTAGTTTCCTAAGTAAAGGATTCCGGAAGCACTTAAGAGGAGGTGGCTCATGCCTGTAATCCCAGCACTTTGGGAGGCCGAGGCGGGTGGATCACCAAGTCAAGAGATCGAGACCATCCTGGTCAACATGGTGAAACCCCTTCTCTACTAAAAATACAAAAAAAAATTAGCTGGGCATGATGGTGCGTGCCTGTAATCCCAGCTACTCAGGAGGCTGAGGCAGGAGAATTGCCTGAACCCAGGAGGCGGAGGTTGCGGTGAGCCGAGATCGCGCCATTGCACTCCAGCCTGGGTAACAAGAGCGAAACTCCATCTCAAAAAAAAAGAAAAAAAGAGAATATTCACTCTGAGGTGGAGAAGTTCCCTGCAGAGTCTGAGCTTTAAAGAATGAATTTGGTGCCCCCTGGTCCAAGAAGGAGAAAGAAAACCCATCACAGCATCCTCTGAGCCCCCACAGCAGCACTTACCTCCTCACCATTCTGGCCCAGCTCTACCTTGGGGGGGAACAGGGGGAGGGAACAGGGCGGTTTCCTTCGGGTCGGTTTATTGGCTGGTGTCTGGAGGGAGGGTGACAGACAGACACACGGAGAGAAAAAGAGAGAGTGATCAGGCAACAGGGAGGAAGAGCAAGGAAGTGGAAACTGGTTTCAGGAAGGGTTAGGGATTTCGGAGTGTTAGGATGTTAGGGAAGTACAGGAATACTTAGGAATGGAGGAAGGGAGCTGCGTGTCTGTGGGACTGCCCGCCTACTATTTAAATTCGTTCTGTTTACCATCTGCCCATTTTGACTTTCAGCCTCTGCTCCATTTCCTTTCCTGCTACAACATCGCTTTTTACTTGAGATTCATTGACCTGAACCACATTCAGCTTTGAGGCAGTGCCAGCACCTGAGATAATGCTATCTTCTTCATCTTTATGACATGCCTATCCAGTCTGGAAATTATGAACCCGATTTTTCAGATGGGAAAAAAAAAGCCCAAAATAGGGCACCTAAAAACGCAAGGCAAATAAGTACTCACTGCCCCAAGGGGCCATGATAGATTTCTCTCCACCTTGGGGCACCCATCCCTCATCTCACTTCTAATGAGCTCCTCACACTGCACGACTCAAGAAAATCTAGCCCAGATTTCTCCAAAGCTAAGACTCTCCCTTGTCACACTTTCCTCTATTGGTCACTGGACTTCCTTCCTGATCCCTGGTTTCCCATCCAAATGTGCTTCCCTTCAAGTCCTCTCTTCTTTCTCCAGTCTCAGTTTGGGGTCTGCCCCAGCCTTGCCTTGCTCTGGCTATGGGAAAGGAGCTGGGTGTAGGAACTTCTTTATTCTGACCCAATCCAGGCCCTGCACAACTGAGTGGGATCTCAGTCTCTATCGGTGGATGATCACATAGAAATGGATACAGATGCGCATCTCTGATGGACACTGCCCTGTGTCTCATCCCTCCGGGCCAGTGTGTAAGCCTCGCCCTGGTGGGGACAGATTCTGCACAGGCACAGCCGCAGTGGGACATTCCTCACATTCAGAGAAACCCCTCCAGCTCTTGGCTTCACTTCCTAATTTGGTAACTACCCAGCCTCCTCCCTCCCTCTGGGCCTGACCAGATTTCCCCTTCCTCCTGCCCCCTGCAGGAGAGGCTGCTCTGAAGCCTCCTGACTCACCTCCTTGGCAGCAGCCGCCTGCTCCCTAAACCGCCCGGCCAGCTGGGCCACCGAAAGGGATGCTGAGTTGTCCACATTGGCATTGGTCTCTGTCGGTCTTTCCTGGCAAATTGAGAGGCAGCAACAGTTAATCAGCAAATGGGTACCAGGTGCCAAGCAGGGCACTTGTTTCGTGGCCACAAGCAGAATGCTGTGACAATGAGGTATTTTAACAGCATGATCCGACTGCCTCCCGCATTCAAGGACTTAGGAAAAAAACCATTTAGGCAACCGCATTTAGTGAATATCTACTATGCTCTTGGCCCTGGGTGTGGCTTTGGGGACCTGGAGACAAGCAAAACCTTGGTCCCGTCCTGGAGGGCTGCCCAGGGATCTTAGGGGCAGTACAGGTCTGGGTTCCTCATTCCTCAAAGACCCCACCAGCAAAGTGCTACGTCAGCGATAGCATATGTGAGGGTGAGCAAATGCCCTATATTGAACTTGAAACACATATGTCTTGTGTTCCCTACTTGAGTGCCATGGGCAAAGAAGTGTTCAGTAAATATTTGTGGAATTAACAAATAAACGACTTGAGAGCAGATAGCACAGCGGATGGGAGCCAATCTGCCTGGACTCAGGCACTGACTTGGTCCATGTCTTACCAGCTTGGGGACCTGGGGCAAATGGCTTAACCTTCCTGTGCCTTCATGAGGATGGTCGTAGTGCATCCCTCAACAGTTGTTTTGTGGATTACATGATTTGCTCTGTACCCAGAGTGCTGGGACAAGGCCTGGCCCATGGCAAGTGCTTTGGAAGGTGGTTGTTATTGTTACTGGCAATTAGTTAGGGTTAGGGTTAGGGTTAGGTTAGGGTGACCTCGGGTGCAGGTCATCAGTCTACCATGGCGGTCCCTTCATCAAGGTGCCTCCAGGTTCCCTGAAGAGGCCAACATGCACCCAGGACACCATTTATTCTCATGCACCATTTGTCACCAAGACACATAGAGTAAGTCAGTGATGCTGGAAATGACCAGTTCCTTTCTGCCTTGTTACAGGAGGCCTACACAACCACTTGGTTTTAATAAGATTTTTTTTACATGTCCAGTCCCAGAGACAATAGGTTTTTGTCTTTTGTCACCATGACGGCAGCATTTCTTACACAGAAGCTGAACTGCTCCATCACACCCCCTCCTCCCATCTAGTCTGAAAATGGAAGGAGCTGGGCAGCAGTTTGTCTGAGGAAGCCCACCTCTGCTAAAACACCATCCCAGCTCCTTCCCAGCCTAAACACCATCCCAGCTCCATCCCAGCTCCTTCCCAGCCTAAACACCATCCCAGCTCCATCCCAGCCTAAACACCATCCCAGCTCCATCCCAGCCTAAACACCATCCCAGCTCCATCCCAGCCTAAACACCATCCCAGCTCCATCCCAGCCTAAACACCATCCCAGCTCCATCCCAGCCTAAACACCATCCCAGCTCCATCCCAGCCTAAACATCATCCCAGCTCCATCCCAGCCTAAACACCATCCCAGCTCCATCCCAGCCTAAACACCATCCCAGCTCCTTCCCAGCCTAAACACCATCCCAGCTCCATCCCAGCCTAAACACCATCCCAGCTCCTTCCCAGCCTAAACACCATCCCAGCTCCATCCCAGCCTAAACACCATCCCAGCTCCATCCCAGCCTAAACACCATCCCAGCTCCATCCCAGCCTAAACACCATCCCAGCTCCTTCCCAGCCTAAACACCATCCCAGCTCCATCCCAGCCTAAACACCATCCCAGCTCCTTCCCAGCCTAAACACCGTCCCAGCCTAAACACCATCCCAGCTCCTTCCCAGCCTAAACACCATCCCAGCTCCATCCCAGCCTAAACACCATCCCAGCTCCATCCCAGCCTAAACACCATCCCAGCTCCTTCCCAGCCTAAACACCATCCCAGCTCCATCCCAGCCTAAACACCATCCCAGCTCCTTCCCAGCCTAAACACCGTCCCAGCCTAAACACCATCCCAGCTCCTTCCCAGCCTAAACACCATCCCAGCTCCATCCCAGCCTAAACACCATCCCAGCTCCATCCCAGCCTAAACACCATCCCAACCCATTTCCCTGGCTCTCGTGGTCTACAAAAGCAAGGGATGCTTCCCTCCAGCAGCAAGTTTACTCCCTTGTAAACACACACACACACACACACACACACACACACATTCTTCCATGGCCCTTCTTTTATGTTAAAAGTGGTGTCTCTGAGCCTCCAAGCTTTCTTACTTGGGTGTCCCTCCAAGGTAAATAACTTTAGGCATTCTAAGATGCTGTCCTCTTAGAGCAAGGGAGGGGCAGGCAGGTCTCCTCACCCCCCACCAACTTCTGGCAGAGTAGTTAATGGAGTAAAGCTTTGAGAAGAAGGCTTTGTCAGGCTGGGCGAGGTGGCTCAGGCCTGCTAAGGCAGGTGGATCACTTGAGGTCAGGAGTTCGACACCAGCCTGGCCAACATGGTGAAACCCCATCTCTACGAAAAATACAAAATTAGCTGGGTGTGGTGGTGAGTGTCTGTAATCTCAGCTACTTAGGAGGCTGAGGCAGGAGAATATTGCTTGAACCCAGGAGGCGGAGGTTGCAATGAGCCAAGATAGCGCCACTGCACTCCAGCCTGGGTGACAGAACAAGACTCAAAAAAAAAAAAAAAAAAGAAAAAGAAAAAGAAAAAGAAGAAGGCAGCTTTGTTTAGAGGCTGTAGACTTTCTGGTCTGTGAATAGCTGTTCTGGAGGAAAATACAGGTACCCTTTTACTGTTGCTTACTATATAATTCAGGCTCATCTCCATCCCAGCCTAAACACCAAATGCTGATTTTTGCATAAAGATATAAAAGGATTCACCTCTATTCAAGACGCCAGATTTCCCCATGATGCTGGGGGAAAGCTGGGGAGTGCGAGGCCCCACCCTGATGAGTTCCCCGCTGGGAAGGGGCTCCCAGACATGACCCATTTTACCCTCACACTTGCCACATAAGAAAGTCAGAGAATGAAACGACAGAGAGGCCTGGGGACAGCGTGTGATTAATTGAGCTGTTCTTGGCAAAGACGCCGGCTGATTGGTTTGTCCATCTGTCTAACTTCCTGCCCACATCACAGATCAGCCTCTCTGTCCCTTGCTATTTATGCTCGGATCCTGCTGACAGTGCGCTTTACCTCAGCTTCAAAGGCGCCAATCACTGGTGGTGCAGGAAGATAAATTCCAGTTAAAAATAGAGCTGTATAGGAATCAAAAGCTCCTCCCTTACTTCCCTGTCTCAAAACTGGCCTTGGCAAGGGGCTCAGAAGTGAGAGAACTCTGAGGCCTCTGGAAGCATTTAGGGCTTAAAAGCTGGGTAGAAGGCAAGATTCTAATACCTCTGAGTGTTTTCCTGCAGCCAGTGAATGGGTTTTCTTTACACGAAGGACTCCGGAGCTGGTTGATGCTTGGCAGATCCTCTCGCCACCAGTTCCCCTCCAGACACTTCCCATTCTCTTTTCCGGAAGACTGATTGATTATTACCGTCTGCCCTCTGGGCACACTAAACCCAGAGAAGGCAAGTGACAGCCAGAGTCACACAGGACCGGCCAGACAGGATAATCTGTGAAACATCTGACTCCAACTCTCGAGACTCTAGTAATGGACATCAATCATGCAGCATCATTTGTGAAAGTGCCTTAGCAACTGTAAAGTGCTATACAAATCTCAACATTATTATGAGCCATTGAGTTGCAAAGGTGCAATGGAAGAAGCATGGTCTTGGGGATGAGCCAGGGCTGGTGGCTCAGACTGTGAGGCTTTGCCTGGATCTCTGCCTCACAGCTGTGGCACATACAGCTGCCAACACCCCTCTGGTTTGCTCAGCGCCACACCACCTCTGTCACGGGCCAGGAGCTCCTCATGGCCGTCTGGCTAAGGCCACACCCTCACCTTGACTGTTCTTAGGTCTGAGAACTTCAGTGTCTCTACCTATTCCCAGACTTTCCTGAGACACCTGTAGCCTCTCTGAGATTAAATGTTCCTTCTCGGTTCCTGAGACGTTTATAAACTACTTAGCACAGAGCCTGAAACGTAGAATGTGCTTGACGGGGCACAGCGACTCATGCCTGTAATCCCAGCATTTTGCGAGTCCAAGGCAGGAGGGTCTCTTGAGCACAGGAGTTCAAGACCAGCCTGGGCCATAAAGAGAGACCGCATCTATACATAACATTAGCCTAATGTAGTGGCATGTGCCTATGGTCCCAGCTACTCAGGAGGCTGAGGAGAGAGGATCACTTGGGCCCAGGTGGCCGAGGTTGTAGTAAGCCATGCTCACAACACTGTTCTACTGCACTCCAGCCTGCGCAACAGAGACTCTGCCTCAGAAAAAAACAAACAAAAAAAATCCCAGCAATTTGGGAGGCCAAGGCAGGCGGATCATGAGGCCAAGAGATTGAGACCATCCTGGCCAACATGGTAAAGCCCCGCCTCTACTAAAAAATACAAAAATTAGCTGGGCGTGGTGGTGCATGCCTGTAGCCCCAGCTAGTCAGGAGGCTGAGGCAGGAGAATCACTTGAACCAGGAAGCCAGAGGTTGCAGTGAGCTGAGATCTCGCCACTACACTCCAGCCTGGAGACAGAATGAGACTCTGTCTCAAAAAAAAAAAAGAATGTGCTTATCTAAGGCTGGTTTCTTCCTCCTCCTCCTTTTCCCATCTAACCTGGTCTGCTGGTATGCTGGTGTCAGGGCCTGGGCACCTGCTCCCAGAGTCACTGACACCCTCAACTCACCCCATGGACCACACCCAGAGGTAAGTCCTCCCCCTGCTAGCATCCACCCTCTAGGTCCTGGTCATTGCCTTGACTTCAGCTTGTCCTTTCCTCTCGGGTCATTGTCCACATTAGATCTGTTTTCTGCACCCATTCCCCATTTGTACCCTGCTTTAGCTCACACTTGTCTTTACAGATTGCAAGCCTGCACGCCAGCTTCCCGGTCAAGTCTTGCTTACAAAGCCCTCCCCGCCACCTTCCAGCTAGGCTATGCCAGGTAGCTCGGAAACCACGCCTGTGGTTACTGTCTGACTTTGCCAAAGCCAGGAGAAAATCACCTCTGGTGTTTACATTCTATTTC